TAATAGGCTACTTGTGTTATTTCCCTCAGTCATTTTGAATTTGAATTACCTTGACTTTTGAGATTTTTTTTTTTAAAGCATTTTCCTTGTATTCTTTCTGAACATATAATATGTATAAGATACATTTGTAGAAGATGTAGTTCATGCATCTTTTTTGCAAAGATATTTAACAAGTGATTTGTTTAACATTTACATCATGCTGACAACATGTGTGGTGCACTTGAAATAAATTTCTTTAACTAGAGGGTTAACAAAGTAAAAGTTACTTGAATCATGTTGTAGTTACATTTTCAAGTTGACTAGTTAAAACATTTTAAACATTAAAATTAAAACATTCTGAAAAAAAAAAAATCAAGATTTTATTTTATTTTTTCCATATCTCCCAGCCCTACATTAAAACTGACAGCTCTATAAACAAGACAAATCTTTATTTTACACAATTATTTTTAATCCATTTTCAAATGATTTCAAATTTCTTAAATATAAATTAAAATAAATAAAATTATATCGGCCATCGGCCACCCTGCTTTCCAAGATATCGGCATCGGCTGTCAAAAAACCCATATCGGTCGACCACTAATGCTGATATGATTCATAAATATGCAAGATATGACAGACAGAGAACTCCCAAGAACTGCACTGATTCCCTCATTTACATCAGTCAACAATATCAACAATTAAACAATAAAAAAACCCCGCTGTGGGTAGATAAAAGGCACCTGATTGCAACATTTATTTAAAACAATGAATGGGGGAACTAACAAAAAAAAGAAAAATAAACAAACAAACAGACTACAACAACAACCTATAATTAATAATAATAATAATATTAGGGATGCATGATATATCGGCCACCATAACGGTATCGGCCGATAAATATAAAATATTCTGTTATCGTTATCGAACCGTTTAAAGCCGATAAATAATGCATTATTTCCTGCAGAGACACTTCAGATGCGCACTGTTCGCCATGATGGTTTTTTTAATTGCTTGAAATATTATTGGAATCACTTCGAAAAGGAAAATACAGTGACCTGCAACATGTGCAGGGCAAGTTTATCATATTATAATGAGATCATTAGCTACTGTTAAATAATGTTATGGAATCTTTGTTCGCCCGTGTTTCAGCAAGTTGTTACGGGAAGAGTGCATCCACAACGGATCTACACCTTCATGACTAGCACAGTTAAGTTCGCTTGTACATTTACAGCCTTTTGTGCAATTGTACGTTGTAATATTGCGTTTATTTTATGCATATATATCTGATTTATCTCATATAGAATGCTTTTGTTTGCGCTAATAGAGGGCTTCAGTTTACCGGTGATCATCTTTAGCTCAGCGCACGCAGCTCAAACAGCAGCGGACAACATTAATAACTATGACTGGGACTATCATATATATAACATTATAATGAAAACACTTATTATAATAAAACATTATAAATTATTTCGGTTTGGTTTCCGTGTTTCAGCACGTTGTTACGGGAAGAGCGCATCCACAACAGAAGTTACACATTCTGATTAGCATGTAACTTCGTTTGTGTTCACTTGTGCATTTGCGTCTTTTTGTACATATATAATTTGTAATATGTTTATGTTGTATAAATGTCTGATTAAACTTTATTTACAATGCGTTTCCTTGAGTTAAATAAGCTGGCAGCACTTCAGTTTACTGGTGTTCATTCAGCTCTTCAGCTACAGCGCAGCAGCTCAATCAGCAATGCTGCTATTTGAAACAGTGGTATTAATTTAAAGATACTTCTTTTTCAAAATCATTGATATATCATTAATAATAACCACCACTTTTATTTGTATCTTATTATTTTCATCAACAATATGGTTTAATTAAAATAATTTCATTGTCAGTGCAGAGGTTATTCCATTTAATATTCCGTTATCCATGGCACGTTTTTTGATTTTGAACTCCCCCAAAAATAATTACTCACCCTCATGTCATTCCACACCCCTAAGACCTTTGTTCATCTTCAAACCACAAATCAAGATATTTTTGATAAAATCCGATGGCTCAGAGAGGCCTCCATTGACAGCAACGCCACCCAAACTTTCAAGATCCATAAAGGTACTAAAGACGTCGTTAAAACAGTCGACATGACTACAGTGGTTCTACAATAATTTTATGAAGCAACGAGAATAATTTTTGTGCGCAAAAACAAAACAAAAATAATAACTTTATTCAGCAATCTCTTCTCTTCCCTGTCATTATCCTTACGCGGTTAACGCAGTAACCAGTGAAGGCTTCCGTGTTTTACGTCCAAACGCCGGCTCATTATTGGCCAAAGCTGCACATGTGAGCAGCGCGACGCATGCGTGTGATGCTGATGCAGGAGCCGTCCAATAATGAGCCGGCGTTCTGACGTAGAACCTGGAAGCGCTGGACGTAAACAACGTATGAGAATGAGACAGAAGAGAAGAGGTTGTTGAATAAATTCATTATTTTTGTTTTGTTTTTGCGCACAAAAAGTATTCTCGTTGCTTCATAAAATTATTGTAGAACCACTGTAGTCACGTCGACTGTTTTAACAACGTCTTTAGTACCTTTATGGATCTTGAGAGTTTGGGTGGCGTTGCTGTCATCGGACTTGATCAAAAATATCTTAATTTGTGTTCTAAAGATGAACAAAGGTCTTAGGGGTGTGAAACGACATGAGGGTGAGTAATTAACGGCAGAAGTTTCATTTTTGGGTGAACTAACCCTTTAAGTAATGTTGTCCAGTGACTTATTTTATTTTGCATTATTTTATTTATTTGTAAGGCTGCTTTAAGTTTGATTTATGTTGAAGTGTTTAATGCCTTTTAATGGTTAGACTTTTTTGGTAATCAGGCTCTCAAAAATTATATAAAAATTAGGATTTAGATTTATCGGCCAAAATATCAGTTATTGGCTTTCATAGTTAAAGAATTATCGGTTATCGTATCGGCCAAAATGTTCATATCGGTGCATCCCTAAATAATATTTTATCACAGCTATTATTATTGATGCCCTTATTGAATAAAATAAATCACTATAGGTTGTAGAAATCAATTCGCTGCACAATCAGCTACATTCTCTTACCCTCCTCTAGGTGGTGGTGGAGGCAGAGGCAGATTTCGAGCCCTACTGCCCCCACGTCCTCCTCTTCCTGGTGGGGGTGGAGGTGGTCCACGACGAGGGCTAATATCATCATAATCCCGTCTGGATGGAGGCATGGGGCGACCTCCACGGCCAGGAGGCATGCGATCGAATCCTCCTCGGCCTCGCATTGGGAACCCACCCATAGGCCGTCGCCCTCTTTCTTCATACATCACAGTGAAGCCGCCATAGTCATAGGTCTCATCATAAAAGTTTGGATCGTAGGGCTGGGCTCGACCTTTAATGGGAGCCTTCAGATAATGCAGGACAAATTTAAGTTTTATTTACAAACCAAGAAGAATCGTTGGATGTTTATACAATGTCTAATGAGAAGAAACTGTTAAAAATGTCCTCACATCTCTCCACCAGTATGTTATCGTCTCACCTCTGAAATCAGCTCTAGAATAACCTTGATGCACTCAACCACACGCTCGGGTTTTCCCCCGACTAGCACTACACGGTCAGTGGAGTGGGGGCAACATTCCTGGAAGAGCTTGATTGTTGTCTGGGTATTCTTAAAAATGAATAACCAATTTCTCATAGTCAGGGAAATACGATTAAATTGTTTTTTTTGGTGAAGCTAATTTAAATGTTAAGCTACCTAGTTACTAACTATTATTTTACGATGTGTTATTTTTAGTACTGTGCTCACCTCCCTCAGTTCCTTGATCTTGGCACCTTTGACTCCGATAATGCCTCCAGCCAAACTCTGATGAATCAGCAGCCGCAGCTCACAGTCAAAGTCAGTCCCGCTGTAGTGCTGATACTGCCAAACATACAGAGTAAAGGAACATTTAAGGACACTTGCAAACCAACAGATTTTGTCACGTCCACAATGAAAGCACATACTGATATGGTGCTCAAGGAACATTTCTTATTATCAACATTGAAAACAGTTGTGCTGCTAATTACTTTTAGAAAACTATGATACTTTATGAACTATGAACGGCCAGGCGGCCTAGAGTGAGCGGAGGCCAGAGGGCTAGATTGAGCGATGGCGGGCGGGCTTGAGAACGGCGCGGCCGGCGGATTCGACGAAGGAGCGGCCAGTGGCAGCCCTCTACGAACACCTTGGCAATTGAATCGCCATTGCCTAGTAAATTTTTTTGTTTACTCGCAAAAAATATATACATATACATAGACTGATAAATATATACATACACACACATACATACATACACACACACACATATATATATACATATATATACACACATATATATATACACATATACACACATATATATATATATACACATATATACACACACATATATATATATACACACACACACATATGTGTGTATGTTTGTGAAATGGCACAGTTTTATAAATATCTGAAAGTACACTCTTAACATCAGTCAGTCAAGCATTATAATATGATAATTAATGTTATTTAATGATAGAACTTTTGTAATTAGAATTAAAACTTTATAACCATGTATGAATGCATATTAGTCATTTTAACTGAACTTCGGACTGGTGGTGGTGCTTTTTTGGTCATTCAGTGTTTCTGTAAAAAAAAATAAAAAATTGGGGGAAAACTAACAAAAATACTGATAAGATAATGATACGAATTCTACTAATAAGAACAATATAAAACGCACCAAGGATTAATGAGCTACTGGATTCATGAATATTAATCCGGTTGTGTGCGTTTGCTCGAACTGATTTGCTGAAATCAAAACAGGGACGATAATAGGTGAGCGCCAGCCAATGAGATTGCCGTTTGCGCATTAGTTCCGCCCACTAGCGGAGAAAGCGGTAGTTCTTAAAAGCGGAAGAATTCCAAAGGAACTCCGTTATTTTGACAGCAAAATACAACAAAGAATATCGTTTACATGTAGCGCGTCAATTCTCTCTCTCCCTCTCTTGCTGCGTGTGTGTGAAACAAAGCGACGGCGAGTCGTGCGCCTTCACACTAGAGTTTACGGTACGTTGTGTGTTGCACATCCATTCAGATGAACTGAAAAACAGCACAGATCACTTGACGGAGAGAGAAACTCTGAAGCACTCAGTCAGAGTGTTCGGCGAGTGAAAATATATCGGAGCTAAACTTATACTTAGCCTCCAACTCACACACTGGTGAGTAAAATCTGAGAATTTATTAGCAATTGGCTAATATTAGACATCATTTAGTCGCCAGAGTGAAGATTTAGTTGCATATGCGAGTGATTTACTCGCAATGTAGAGGGTTGTGGTGGGCTTGCGGCAACCACATGTTACGACCCCGGGCTGGATTCTGCTTCGTCCACGGTGAAAGCCGATCCGGCGATCCACAGCGCAAAGTTGATGTATTCCCTCAGCGACCAGCACGGATCAGCTCTAGGCATGACGAAGCGGATATCGTCCTCTTTTGGAAGACCAAACAAAGTAGTTTCACTTTCACAACGAAACACAGCGCCTTCACGACATGGCGGCAGCAACAATACTACAGCGAGAATAAAAGTTACGCCTTCTTTCTTTGCGTGAACATTTGGGCGGCGTTATGCAAATCTTCCCACATTGTGACGTAGACATGTGGGGGCATGTTAGAATGAGCCGTTTTAGGTAGCCGTGGTTGACTCTTAACTTTTATAAAGAATATCTCTTTGGATTTGAGACTTTAGTCTTAGCAACTTTACAGGATCTTCTTTATGCACCAAGAGCTTCTAAAACTTCAAAGAGAAAGGAAAAAATTGAGATCGCATCATATGACCCCTTTAATGTACCTTACCCTTGATTACTAAAAAAAAAAAAAAAAAGTTTTATAAACGCTGTATAGTCGTACGAAAAATTTTAATTGGTATAGACTAAAAATCTCCAAATCATATGTGTTTAAAACAATTTATCAACTTTTAGAATAGACTAGCATACAGATGGCCTCAGAAATAACGGATATGTACTAAATAATATGTATACAAAACACTGATTCTGATTTAACGGTGTCTTTGAGGCCTTCAATGCTGGGTTTTGTTTGCTTACCTCCTCCAGGGTAGGGATGATCTTCAGCAGAATCTCACCAATGGTCTCTATATCTGCACTCACACTCAGGATACTGTAGCAGCACATCAAGCCAAATGAAAGACAAAAGCAAAAACGGATACAAAACTTTAGATGCTGAGCCCAGCTGCATATCACAAAGCAATGAAGAAGGGGGAAATAAGACTTTGAATCAAAAGAAAGTAAATTAAAAAGAGGACTGCTGAACACATGTTTTAAATCTTCCAACACTGGACTGAGTTACGGGCAACTGACATGCACTCAGTTCTCGCACATTCAATTAATACAGGCCTTGAAGAGATGGGCGATAGTGGGAGGGCTGAGACTGAGGCACTGTGCGGCTACACGAGCCAAAAGAATAAGAGAGAGAGCAAGACAGGCCTGCTTACCACGATCCCACCACCAGAACATTTGGGGGAGAAAGAAAAAAAAAAATCGAAAGTCTCTTGCGAATCACTCTATGGTGCCATCAGCGCGTCACATTCTCTCAACAACGAGAGAAACCAAACCAGAAACTAACAGAAAAAGCTAAAGAATGAGGCGAAGGGGAAGGGAAGGATGATAGATTTTTTGCAGATAAAGAGCCTGAACGCATGTGGGCTAAGAGAGAAAGAAAGAAAAAGAAAACAAGGGGAAGGTAATGCAGCACCAGAGAAAAATCAGACAACAGTGATGAGTGACAGAGAGGGCTGCGCCACGGCGCAAGCTCAGAATCATGGACAGTGATGTTGGGAACAGTGAGGGAGGGAGGGCTCAGGGGTTGGGGGGCAACAAGGACAGAGCGAAAAGAGATGGGCTTCTCAACAATTCACCATCAGTATCATCAACAAATGAAAATAATCATCCAAACTAGGACTGGGCAGTATGATGCATAGGACGTGATAACTGGTAGATATTTTGCAGTTTCATGTTATACATATATATTTGCTTGTGTTCATGTGAATAAGACTGTTTGAAGATACTTCAAGGAGTAATGCAAAAATACTAGCAATGCACCAAAAATAATTTTATACCAAAACATACTTTTTTTGAAAATTCAAAATTAAAGTTTTGATTTAAACAACTGAAAATTTCATGTAATTCAATTTGGGTAATTAAACTCTTTATGCAGTTCTCAGTTGATTGATTAAACCAGTCATAGTAAAGTTATTTGTAAATAAAATTTTGCATATTGCTACTTCAGCATTATTTTTGGTTAAGCTCCTGTTGTAGCTTAAGCGCACTGCTTAAATTCAAGCAGTATATTTCAGGTTGCTGAAATGTAGGTGCATCACTACAAAATACAGAGGGACGAATTCAACATTTAGCTGTTTGTAGTTATTGAAGAATGATGCAACTTCTCTCATTAACATTGAATTCATTTTATATGTGGTCACAGGTGTGCATACAAATGCATAATCGTTTTTTATAATATTAGTTTTATTTGGAGTCTTTTCGTCTTTTGCTTTCACACTTAATCATGTTATGAATAATTTGATATTTTGGTTTCATAATAAGTGAAATATAAAAAGCAACTTTAATTTGTAACTCATTTAAGAATAAGAAGTACTACTGCATGGTTATATAATTTTTATTTTGCGCCAAAGTAAGATTTTGGTCATACCACCCACCCCTAATCCACACACTTCATTCAGCAGAGACTAATATGAGTGAGGTCTCTCCCCATCTGAGAAGTGATTGATTATATAGAATTCTGTGCGACAAAGAAAGTTTGCAAATTATATTCAAAGACCATTAGAGAACTTTGCTTAAAGGTTCATAATAAGCATGGAGCATGGTCTTAATACTCACATCTGTGCGTAAGGCTTTAATGTTCTTGCCTCCCTTTCCAATCACAGCCCCTGCATTCTGAAAGCATAAAACGACATTGTTAAAAATGCCACCAATATCGAAGAAATGGAGAAGCAAAGTGCACGTGTATTGCTTTACTCACTTTGCTTTGGAGAAGCACCCTGAGCTCTACCATTTCATCTGTGTTGCGGGAGCGTTTGAATGCCTGTTCCTCATCCATGTCCTCAGCAGGGCGCTTGCCTGAGGGAACACAAATCTGGCACGTGAGCCTCGACAACAATTAAGACATTCCTGTTTATCAAACTGCTTGTTCTGAGAAAATGCCATTGCGGAATTCAAAACATAACCAGGCACTAGTGAATGAAGATCTCACGAAATTTAAGGACTTAAAAGAAAGCCATTTAACATATAACTGTCTATCGAACATAAAATGTTATGTTAAAATCCCAATTATAAATAACTGTATAATACAATATGTGGGTAAGACAAATAAGAACTCAGATCATTGAGCATACGAGCGCTATTAGGAGGAAAGATTTAAAATAGCCTGTGGCTCGCCATTTTGTTGAGAGGTCTCATTCAGTCTTAGACTTAAATTGTATAGCTACTGAAAAGTTGACTCGTAGAGGAGAGAATTTAGAACGTAGACTTTTGCAAAAGGAATGTAGGTGGATTTTTTATCTTAAAAGTCTACATCCTCTGGGTATGAATGAAGATTTGTCTTTGAATTGTTTTTTAAAATAATTTAATGATATATATGGGGGACTCGAAGAGTACTTTGGTATGATGTTTATTAGAGCCCGACCGATATATCGTTTTGCCGATATTATCGGCCGATATGAGCCTGTCGCCGATATATCGTATTGGCGAATATGCCATTGATATGAAAATTTTTTTTACAGAACATATAAAGCAGATAAAATGCTTGAAATGGTCCGGCGCCGAACGATCAAGCGATCCGGGGAGCTACCGACGCGCGGAGAGTGGCGTTTGAGAGGGCTCCTCGAGCTGAAGGGATCCCCCGAATTTGGTGGAGATCCGGCGGTGCGTTCGCGAGATAGTGACACCAGTCAACACTTTCACTTCAGTAAGGACGTCTCTTGTTCAGGCAGCAGCATTCAAGTGTGGTCTTATTCGACCCGATTTATATTTAGGGATGCACCGAATGTTCGGCAACCAAACCGAATAAGCGAAAAGACCGAATAAATTGTACCGAACAATGATATGACGTGATCAAATAGTAACCAGCGCAGAGTGAGAGGCGTGCACTCTTTATTATGCAGCACACACGTCAGCAGTGTGGAAGCATTTAAACTGTCGGAGAAAGATGCAAAAATCATTACAAGCAGCGACAGCGAGAGACTGTTTAGGACTGCATCGCATGTCTTCAATGAGAAGAGGAAGGGGTGATTGTTGCTGGTTACTGTATGATGATTGAAATCGCGAAATGGCCTTACACAATTAGTAAATAAACTGCAGAACGTTATGTTTTCTAATACACGCGTGCATTGCATGTATTCTGACAGTGCTGCACGAAGACCTGCTTGTTAACCAGGGTTCAAAGTCCAAAGCGCGAGGAAAATCTGCGCTGATACAGTCGTCCGTTGCTTAGTCACATTTTTATGAATTTTTACAAGGCATGTGACAATGCGATACATACGACGTATTCGTAATGATTCATTTATAAATCTGTCATAAACAAAAATAAGCATTGAGGTCTTCCTGCACGTTTCCACCTAAATAAAAGTTGAGAAAAAGCAAGAACTCTTATCAACATTCATAAATGTTAGTATTGTAATTTTACTGTTGTTCTGTAAAATAAAATGAAAAGACATAATAATGATAATAATCATTACAACAGCTCTGTTTTAATACATTTATTATAACATTCACACGTTTAAATTAGGATCTGTAATATTTTCTAATGTTTAAAAGAAGTCTCTTCTCAGCAAGGCTGCTTTTAATTGTGTGCTTTGTTGGTATAGTGTCTGCTAGAATGTTAAAAATGTTCAGTGTTAAATATTTTTAAATTGTTGTTTTGTAATTTTTTTTTTTTTTTGAAAAGCAAGGCAAAACCGTAGAAAGCACATTTTGGCTTTTTAATTTATGCAATGGTGAAAAAACATTTGGCAAAATACATGGGGAAAAAAACTTGAAAAACCGTGTTTGGTGAAAAACACAGTGTTTAATTTTGTTCGGTTTCGGGCCAAGAAATTTCATTTCAGCGCATCCCTATTTATATTGTATTTATTTACAGAGGTATATTGTCACACTTCTCTAGTAAGTTTCATCTGATTTGCAAATAAATTCTTTAAAAATCCTACAATGTAATTTTCTGGATTTTTTTTTCTCATTTTGTCTCTCATAGTTGAGGTATACCTATGATACAAATAGGCCTCTCTCATCTTTTTAAGTGGGAGAACTTGCACAATTGGTGGCTGACTAAATACTTTTTTTCCCCACTGTATATGTGTTTGATCACCACATTTGAGTGATCATTGCAAAAAATGAGTTGTCCAAACTTTTGACTGGTATTGTACTATAATATACACAAAGAATATCAGCCGATATATCGATATCGGCCTTTTTTTACTCCCTAATAGCGGTATCGGCCCCAAAAAACCCATATCAGTCGGGTTTTAATGTTTATTGATTGTATACATCATAACTGATGTTAAGAATTATTGTTGGAGTCATGAGATTATTATTTGGTGTATATGTATATTTTGTTTATATAGTTGTATATGAATTTGGGATGACTTATGAATGTATTTACTGTATTTTGTTATAGATTTGAGATATATAATACATGTTAATACATATTTTAATGAGCGCAGGTGTTGCTTGGTAGCACATGGCACTGAGGAAGGGTTAATACCCAAAAACGTTCTGCACTTGCACTTTTAATAATAATAATAATAATGCATTTTTATTTATGTGCTTTTTTCATGCAAACTGTAGCATCATGCTACACAAGACAATAAATAAGATGTATAGTCCGCTTTTACTCAAAACTCACTTTAAATCACAATCGAGTGTTTGTAATAATGACAGAGAAAGCTCTACGACCCATAGTTTTTAATTTATATGCTGAAGGATACACAACCCAGCTGAGCGCAAAGGGCGAGCGGGAGTACAAGGAGCAACTAAACTGGATATATAGGAAGGGGCAGTCCGATGAATAGCTTTACAAGTTAAGATCAGGATTTTAAAATCAATACAGCACTGATTTATTGTGTTGGTTACATTTTGTTCCTTTGTGCAGTGGTCTTTGAGTTTGTATAAACATCAACAAGCTGAAAAATAAGTTTGTTTTTTTAGATAATGTAATCTTGTTAAAATTGATTTCATAAAATTGGTATTGAAAAAAGTATCGTTCAGGAACCAGTATCGAAGTCAAGGTATCGGCATTGAAAAATTGAACGATACCCAGCCCTAAAAATCTGAGATCGTTTTTTTGAGATCTGCCTTTTTAGAGATTGCCGATCAAAGCGATTATCGGCCGATAGTGATCGGTAACCGATCAATCGGAGCACCCCTACTTTAGACCAATTCACACAGCACCGACAGGTGCAGACCAACATCGACAGCCGATCGAGTACAGTTCATCACTTCTCAGACGTTCTAAGATGCAATAAATGCCAATTCAACATGTTCAATAGGAGAAAACCAGCACCAATCAATGCTAACAGACACCAACAGAGGTAACACACTGATGAGACAAAACCTGAGTAACGTGTCTGTTGCCGTTTGGTCTTTAGATATAACTCTTCAACAAAGACATTTTTTAAAAAACCATGGAAAAATTAACTTCCGGACAGACACGGCTGAACCCTATTCGGAGACTATACGTTACCGTTCGTGTCAGTGTTACCGAAAGTGCTCTCTTCTTCCTGCTGCTCAATTTCTGTCTCCATTGTCTTCAGCCAGCAGTGAAACTGGAATAGGCTGTCCTCGACGGGTAACTCTAAGAGACATAGTGTTTTGAGCATTAAAACAATGCAGAAACTACACCATCTTTAAAGGGTTAGTTCATCCAAAAATGAAAATTAGGCTGCATTTTACTCACCCCCGATGCATCCATGAAAGACTTTCTTCTTTCAGACGAATCCAGTCGGAGTTATATTAAAAATTGTCTTTGATTTTTCAAGCTCTATCGTTGCACACAGTGTTGCATTGCTTCTGTCCAAAAGACGTGAAATAAAAAGCACCTTTCCATAAAAAAAAAAAAAATTGACTCAGGGCTCCGGGGGAGCCTTGTTTATAAAAAAGGCCCCCTGTAGCGAATCGATGCGTTTTTAAAGAAAAATATCCATATTCAAAACGTAATAATCACTTTAATCTAGCTTGCGCCAGCAGTTGTACACAGAAGCAGCTCCGGGAGCATGATGTATGAGTTCAGCGTTGCACATGCGCCGGTGAGTCTCGTGAAAACCAACATTTGTTTACAGGAGCAAAAGAAGCAAAGTTTCCTTACTTTAGCAAAGGAAAACAAGTCTCCTCTTGGCTTATATCGAAATCCTCCGACATCCTTCTTTATAAATCCTCATTTTGTACTTCTAATTAGTAACCGTTGTTTTGTTTCGATCTCTCCGCGTGCGTCACTTCTGAGCGGGGCGTGCGCAAAGCTGACCTCATACGTAATTCCCCCGGAACTGCTTCCGTTTTACAACAGTAAGCGCAAGCTAGATTCAAGTGATTATGTTTTGAATATGGATATTTTTCTTACAAAAACACATCGATTCTCTACAGGAGGCCTTTGTTCACCCCCTGGAGCCGTGTGAGACACTTTTTTTTTAAGGAAGGGTGCTTTTTATTTCACGTCTTTTGGACAGAAGCAATGCAACACCCACTGAGTGCAACGATAGAGCTTGAAAGATCAAAGACAATTTTTAATATAACTCCGACTGGATTCGTCTGAAAGAAGAAAGTCATATACACCTAGGGTGCATCGGGGGCGAGTAAAACGCAGCCTAATTTTCATTTTTAGGTGAACTAACCCTTTAAGGTCACCATGAAATCAAAATTATACTTAGTGAATACACTTTCCTGGTCTTAATGTAGAAAATGTATCATCAATGCATGTTATTCAAAAGAAATCAATTCATGAATGTTCATCAAAATGTAATAGCTTGCTACATATCAGACTTTCAGCTGATGTCAACAAGGCCTCATTTCTCAACACTTTCAGACACCTGTCAGTGATTCTCAACTGGTTTTGATTCAGGTGGTGACCCAATACAGTATCAGAATCATACAAAACCTAAACATATGGTGCTTATAATGTGTGTGTTATTTGCTATTTATCCTTTCATGGGACTATGCCTAGCTTAGTTTTCATATCAGACACAGTTAACAAATGACATTTTACACATAGCCTAATTGTATTTTTACCTGGCAAACCAACTCGTACATGCGTATGCTCTAGATTTTTATTTATTTATTTATTTATATCTTTGTAAAAGATTGTTGATGGATCATCCAATGGGAATTCCATTAGGCTACATTTTAAATGATCATCATGTCTTCAACACTACCGACATGAGTAGGGTTGGGAACCGATAACCGGTTCTCATTCAGAACCAGTTCTGTTTTTTGAAAAGAACCGGAACCGTGAGCAATTTCTATGTTTCGGTTCCGAAAATGGTTCTGGGGCGACACGTGACCAAGCGCTGTACCGGCGTTTCCCATAAAGAATGTCACAAACCAAATAACAGAAACGCCGCCCTGCCTCTAATTACTGAGCACATTGTTTCCCATGACGCGCACTCCACAGACGCACCGTGTCTTTAACTGCCAAACACATCGTTTTCCAAGACTGTACGCGCACTCGCATCTTTGATAAATGTGCACATTGTTTTGCCTGACTGTACATGTACTGGCAGCACGCAGCTCCTGCCGCCACTAAATTACATTATATTTGTCCCATATTGTCTATAGGGCCTTTCGCACCGCGGGAACCTTTTCATAGTACCAGAACTAATTGTGGAACTACCCACTTTTTGGCGTTTTCGCACCGCCGGAACTGGATTTAGTACCGGACTGCCTTTTTCGAGAACCAAATTAGCTCCTATTCCGGAGCAGGGTCTAACCAGCACAACTGGTACTAATCGTGAAGTGAGTAGACATTGATTGGCCAAGCCATGGTTTAAAACGCTATGTAAACATAGGGTCAACTTATTTCGCAAGTATGGAGAACAGCGATAGATGGACGGACGCTGAAGTGCAGGCACTTGTAGCAAATGTAGCACTGCCAGTTGTTGTTGGAGATTCTTAGTCCTCCTTTCCGTTCTTTCAATCGCTTTACGTATACGTCGACGATCTATGTCCATTATTGTGAAACCCGCGAGACACAACAAAAACAGCTCCGATCACAGCATCCTCCATCCTCCATCCTCCTGTTGTTAATGTTGCTCTTTTTTGTTTCTGTTGTTGAACGCCGCGCACAAATGTCGTCGCTGTCGACCGGCTTACGTCACTTCTTAGTACACACTCTCGGTGCGAATGCAACCCTTTAAATGGTACTGGGAAATAGTTTGCGCAAAATCATCCCAGTACTTTAGTACTGTATATTTAGTTCTGGAACTAAATCGGTGCGAAAGGCCCTATTAATATACCTACTGACTTCAACTTGGACCACTAAATAAATAGACTGCTATTGTTATGCAAGTATGAGGCTTAGATTATTTTAGTGTACAGGTCATTTCAAGAGCGATAAAACAAATTGATAGAAAATATTTTCATGCATTTTAAATGTTTAAAAATGTGGAAACCACTCATTGCATCACACCATCTCCTGACTGTATTATTATTTGTAAAATAGGGGCTTTATGCACTGTGTGTATACATGGTTATAAGTATAATATTTCATTAATTTAGGGAAATGAACAAGTGTCTTAGCCCCCAAGGGACTATTTGGCCAACCAGCTTATTCCTGCTTGAAAAGCAAAATGTTATTGATAGTGTAAAAAACAAACTTTGAAGCACATGCATTACTCAACATTACTTACTACCTTCCAGCAACACCACATTCAATTAAGGTAAAATAGTAAAAAAATATTAATAGTTCATTTAAATGGAACCGGAATCGTTAGGCAAAACTGGAACCGAAAACATTTCTAACAATACCCAAACCTAGACATGAGCTCAGTGAAATGTTCCATTGGTTGTTAATAATCTGCCTGGTAATAGGTTAAAGGCTATAAAAAGATAAAACAGGTTTGCTTGCCTGACATTTGTAGGAGATTCATGTAGGAAAATACATGTGTGGGTCGGTCGGGTATGGAATTATAGTGTTGCTGTCGGATAACTAGAGCTGTAGTCAAGTCCAGCTTTGTCGAGTCCAAGACAAGTCCAAGACCAGGACTAGTCGAGACCAAGTCGAGACCGAGTCCAAAGAGGTTCGAGTCCAAGTCAAGTCCAAAAGTTTCGAGTCCAAGTCAAGACCGAGTCCAAATGAGAGAAAAAAAAAGGATCCTCTTCAAGACCACATACTTAACTATTGATAATGTATGTGATGCGAGAGACAGCATATCTCTTATTCTAAGAAAATCATTTTACATTATTATTCGTAATGATCAAAAAGCATGTGCAAAGTAACAACTCTGTAGGACAGGGGTCTCCTAACTAGATCCTGGGGGGCCATTGCCCTGCAGAGTTTAGCTCCAACTGGCCTTAACACACCTATCCTATTATAGCAGACATATCCACTGATTTGCATTGATTTTGCCTTTCTAATAGTCCTGCATGATATGAGGAAATTCTGCTAAGTGTGATAACAGT